GGTATGTTGCCGATACCGGCGCTACCACCCACATGTTCGCGAACTCAGATGGGTTCGTTCGTCACGAAGAGTGTGATCGACGTGTGCGCGTCGCCGCCGGAGAAAACTTTTTCCCCATCGTGGGGTACGGCGACGTGACGGTAACCCTTTGCTCGCGCGACGGCACAACCGACCTGTTGTTGAAACGGGTTGCACACGTTCCCCGACAAGATTGCAACATAGTATCTCTCACTTCCCTCTTCGAAGATGGGTTCGAAACCAAAACCCTAGACAAACACGAGTTGGAGTTGGAGAGAGGGGGGGGGGAGTTGGTGTATTTCCCTTGATGCGGTAACCTGTACGTCCAAAACGGTTGCCGCACACACACCGAACATACCAATGCCGCAATTGCTCCTGGCAACGCGAAATCGTCCAGCGCCCCCGTTGACATCAACGATTTCCACTGCGCGCACGGCCACTCCCACGAGGTGCTGCTGAGGACCACGGCGAAGCAGCAAGGGACGACGCTGGTGGGCGAGCTCCGGGAGTGCCTGGGGTGCTCGACGGCGAAGGGGCTTTCCAAGCCCATCCCCAACAAAACGTCGACCCGAGCAGTTAAGAAACTGCAGCGAGNTTGCCGCACACACACCGAACATACCAATGCCGCAATTGCTCCTGGCAACGCGAAATCGCCCAGCACCCCCGTTGACATCAACGATTTCCACTGCGCGCACGGCCACTCCCACGAGGTGCTGCTGAGGACCACGGCCAAGCAGCAGGGGGCAACGCTGGTGGGCGAGCTCCGGGAGTGCCTGGGGTGCTCGACGGCGAAGGGGCTTTCCAAGCCCATCCCCAACAAGACGTCGACCCGAGCAGCTAAGAAACTGCAGCGAGTTTTCGTGGATTTCGAGTGGAAAAGCTAGGGTGCAGAGCTTGGGGCGGAAGTGGTACACTCTCATTGTCAAGGATAATTACACAAGGTGGAACCGTGTCTTTTTCCTCAAGCACAAATCAGACGTAGATGAGGCATTCGAGAGGTACCTTGCCGAAAACCGGGCAGATGGTGCCCCGTCCGATGTCATGGTCGTGAGATCTGACAACGGAGGAGAGTTTTTTGAGGGAGAGTTCGGCAGGGTGTGCCGGAAATACTGCATCAAACAGGAGTTCGACCCCGCACACAGCCCAGAATACAATGGTGTAGCTGAAAAACATTGGGTCTGATCAAGGATGCAGCACTAGCCGCCCGTATCCAAGCGCCAACTCTTTACCCCGGAGCACCGAACTACCCCTCCCTTCGGGCCGAGGCTGTAGCTTGGGCATGCAACGCCCTGAACTGCACCTCAACCACATCCAACCCCGACCCAGGTAAGAGATCGTCGTACGAGATGTGGCACGGGCACCCTCCCCCGCCGGGGGCGACGTACCCGTACCTCAAAGCTGCCGTATACAAGGTCAAGAGCACGCACAAGTTCGAGCCGAAAGCCCAAAAGTGTTTTTACCTCGGCCCGGGAATCAACACCAACCGTGATGGCGTGCGCATCTTGAACGAAAAACGCCAAGTAATCACAACTCGCAACTTCACCTGGCAATCCGTACCCGCTGCCCCCACCGCCCTGCCCCAGTCGCTGCCTCCAATCGCAATGGAGGAAAGGACTTCGTGACTGGGTAGGACGAGGTTGGGGGGCGCGCGTCGACCCGAGGTGGAGGGAGGGCTGAGGGAGAACCTGTGGATGGAGGACCAGGTTTCAAGCTTGACGAGACGGCAACCCCGGGGCCCGCGGGGCCGCCCGCGCGCGTAGCGCCCGCGGCACCGCCGGCCGCGCCCCAGGAGTCGGGCGC